ATAAAATTCAAAAGGAGATTGAGCTTGTAAATATGTTTACCTAACTTTAATATTTTGGTTTCATGTTAATTCAAGTGCCAAAAACATTTGAACTGTTTCTTTTATGTTGTTCTTAGAAACAAATTTTATTAAGAAATTACAATCTGATTGAACGAGGAAGCATAAACATTGGAAAAAGTAAACCACAATTAGGGTAACACGTGAGTCATCTGAGGCCTTATGTGGACACTTTCTAACCAATAATATGATATTTTTTAACTTGAGTGATATTGTTATTATCTTGCAATTAAAGGTAAGTCGATAGTGTAAACCCATAAATGGCATTGCCTCTGGAAAGATCATGTGAGACAATTTGGATTAGAAAAACATTTTTAAAGTTTAGTCATTTTAAATGACCGATCCAATTTCATATGCTTTTTGTCATATGTAAAATTGTTGAAAAAATGTGTGAATTTATTGTGAAGTCATCATTTTGGGGGATATTTCTTTTAAAAGAACCTGGCAAGTTTAGAACTTATAACATACTAAGAAGGTATGTCATCTTGATATATGCAGGTGCTGGCTGAATATGTGACTTTATTTTATGTCTTTCCCATGTATGAAATCTTCTTTGGACATGGTAATTCCACTTAATTTCTCTTTAAAATTTGAATAAAGTAACTGATTTCTTGTCGTTTCTACACAATTTAGAATGTTAACTTCAAGCCCTGTGACTTTATTCCTTGCTGATTCCACCCTTTTACACTCTATTTTGCATTTTAAATCATGACTACAAGGAGATATTTGTCTTATGGTAATGCTGTTATCTTGCTCTTGTGTATCTCAAATTGACACCTAATCTCCCCATGTTGACAGAGCTTGTGTCTTTCAAAGGCACTAGTGTTTCATATTTGCATTGTTGATAAGCTATACAATCCCATACAAGACAGAGCCAATGTAAATGTTGAAAAATGCATGCATGCTCAGGAAGTCTGAGTCTTAAATTCCCCTGTGCAGAGAACATTCAAGTTCTTAAACGGGGCCTTCATATTTTGCACAATTTCTCTTCAAAATTTGAATGAGGCTTTTGATTTTCTTGCATTTCCATACAATTTAAAGTATAAATTTCATGTCTGTTTATTTTATTCCTTGCTAATTCCACAGTTACTCGATATATTTCTGGTTTCAAAACATGACCAATATTTTAAAATTAGATTCAGATTCAGGTAAGAGGCAATATGATACTTGGAGAATGGAAGTTTAAAGTTGAACAATCTGTTCTTTCAGATGCTTTGAAGGTGAAATTATGCCAACTGCAACACCCAATGCATATTGATATATAAAAGCGGCTTTGATCAGGCTTTCATAGAATAGCTAATTCTTCATCAAATTAAGGAATCAGTCTGCTTCAAAGCTACACTACCTATAGATGAAGCTCTCTTTTAAGAAGCAAATTAAGTTGAATGGTACTTTAAAGCCTTTTAATTCTTGCAAATAATTTTACGAAGAAAGTGCATTTTATATTTTTTATTGAATGAGTTTTGTCAACACTTGCTAATTCATATATCACTTACTCTTTAATTGCTGAAGAAAATATAAATGACCACCTACTGTGATATATATTTATTTCTCTGCAGTTGCCTTTAATTGCAATGGCAAATGAAGTCTTGTATCAAGTCCCCCTATATACTTCTCTAATATTGTACCTGTGTAAGTGTGGAGGTTCTTATATTATCCTGGGTGCCAGAGAGCCTATTCTCATAAAGAAGGCTCTGAATAAGAAAAATAAATATTACACAGTTTTGATGCTTAATGACCTAATTTACCTCAAAAAGTAGCTGTCATGGGCCTTTATTGAGAATATTCTGATTAGTTAAAAGGCCAGATTAAAGGATTATCATCTCAAAGCTTGTCTTAAAGAAGCAAAATTAAACTATTGCTTTGATCAAGAATTGTTGTGCAGGGCCTGGGGGAAATACTGTTTCAGCCCCTACTGGCCAGAATCCTACTATTTTCAATAATTTGCTTCTGCTTCTTAAAAAGAGAGTTAGGTACAACAAACCTCTGGGCTTCCGGGTACAATATAACATAAACTTGTATTGTTTTGACCAACTTCCAATTTCTGCAGGACAATTCTCATTGCGGAACTGAGTAACGACATCATGTAATATTGTATGGAAATAATTTATTTTAAATCATAAACTCATACACTATGAAAAAGGATGTGATGTCTTCTGATGAGACATACTTACAAAGTCAAAAGTCCCTAAAGATGAGAGTCATGAATATTACATTATAAAATGCCAATGGTGTATTTATGATGGTATCTCTGCTGATTGTATTTTCATCTGTCTTTTTGACCAGTTCATCTTCACATGCATTAGTTTTACTACACTCAACTTGATATTGATGTCATGAATATTACCTTATTAGTACATGGTTGTTAGTTAAAGATGTTACATTAACATATATTATATTTTATATATAACGCTGCTCCACCTAACTTTGTCATTGAAAATATGAATTGACTCTGTGTCACTACCAATAAACCAATTTATATGAAACTTGTACAGTTTCAAGCAAACTAACTATCCCATATCATGTTAAAGTTTGAGCTTCCAACTCCTCTTATTATAAAATTGAGACCCAACGGTAAGAAACTTTTTGATCGGCCCTTGTATGGTACATTCAGGTCTTGTTCTTATTTTCACATTGTGTGTTTCGGGTTAATTCATCTTCACATTCTGTAGTTTCACTATAATACAATGTTTAAAATTATTAGTAATTGCAGGCAGAATTAATTTTATTTCCTGTTGAGAAGGATCTTCTGATTTATGAAATTACCTGGAAACATTATTAGAAAAACAAAACAAATACAAGTGGTAAAAAGTTGAAAAGCATCAAAACAGATAGCTATGCTAAGTAACATGGCCTAATACACACTTACTTTTTCAAAGTGATAATGATTGAAAAAGCAAGATGTATTTTTGTGTTTCATTGACATTTGGCTGATTGTATATAGCTGTTGATGAGTAAACTCATCAGGCATTCAGTTCACATAGTCACCCATGCCCCTGGCTACCGTTTCTATTTATTTCTGCTGCATAAAACATTTATGCATCATCCTGTTTTAAGCACATTGTAGGCATGATGGCAAGGTATGTCCTTCTTGCAAAATATTCGAGGAATCATGTGATTGAATGTTGAAGGTGATTTTAGAGGATCCAATTAGTTTGTTATTTTGGTGATATAATCTCGGTGGTTGAGCAAGATCATAAAAATGTGATTTACAAATGAGATATTAAAACAAGGAACACCTCAAATATTTCCTTTGTGAGTGAAAACAGATAAAGACAACATTTTGGCTTGCTTCCATTTTACAATTTCCCATCAAGCTGCTTCAAAGGTCTGATACAGGTAGAGTGATATCCATGTTCATGGCCTTGTTTAAATCAAACCAAGCCAGGAACATGAATAAGATGATGTGGGTGTAACATCTTCGAGACATCTGGCCTATCTAGTTGCCATGTTTGCCTTGAGCATTTTTGGAGACAGCTTGGCAATATCGGTCTATTCCATGTACACACGTGTGTTCTGTTCCCGTATGAAGATGCTCAAGTAGCTGTGGGATAGACTATTGTTTACCTGTATTATTTGGAAAGATTGGTTTTGTCACATGCTATGCTTCCTTGCTATGTTACAAGGGCAAAGTCACCTCGAAATGACATCAGATTTACACAGAGAGTACATTCATAACGGGATGACGGAGAAAATCTCAAAGTTCATCTCTCTTTTCTATCAGCTTTATTGTATTGAGACGTCAGAAGAATCCATCCAGTAATCTAATTTCTTGATTCTTTGATTAAAATACTTAAAATTGAATGATCATAATTGTTCATCACTTATAATTATTCAAAGGTAAAACAATGTCCAGTTATTGGTGTTATTAAATAATAATAAAAATATAGATCCAGAAATGGATATATTAAAGAAATGATTGAAATTATGGATTAAAAGACAATTTTCGTGCAGTATCATTTATTGCAGTCAGAAGATAGAGTTGTCAAATGTCACCTTCAAATTACCTTTTTTTGATTATCAGAAATTCAATCAATATAATAACTGTGTCACAATTTGTATCAATTACTGTTTCATAGTAATTAAACTCTCATTAATGACTTTTTTAATGAAGTAATTAAAATTATTGTCACCTTTCAAAAAGACACCTGTTGATTGCAGATTTAGCCCTTTATGATGCTGCCATCTATCTTTAGGTAGAGCAGTTAAAACCATGTAACAGCATACATATAAAGATATTGAAAGATGATTATTGAAACTGTCTGGTACAACATTAGAGGTTTCAATCTGTAATAAGGCCTCATTAAAAACACTTCTATTAAAGGTGCAACAAGTAGTGCAGAGGGGCCATTCAACGATCATGGAACAGTGTCAAAATATATTTAAGTTTGGATATTTCATCAAGACTAACATCTATTTTTATTTTCTACAAAGAAACCCCCTAGATAATCATTATTTCAGCTTATATTCCTCTTGAAACATGGTGGATCTTAAAAATATAAAAGTGGACGTCCCCTTTTTGAAGCTTTGAACTGAATTTACACTTTTTAATGCCGAAATTGATAGTTTATCCATACATTTTAAGAAAATAGGTATGTCAAAGAGGATGTTAAGCCAATGGTTGCCTTGATAGCTCAGAAAAAGTTAAAATTTTCCAATTTTCACTCTACAAGCCTTATTGCCCCTTTAAGATCTCACATTGTTAAACTCACAATTATAGTGAGTTAAAGTTTGGATACAGTTACCTTTATATCTGAATATGTGTTTTTGATATCTTATATCATTCAAAATATAATTTAAAATAGAATGCATTAGGAGGCAACAAGAGTTAATTCTATTTTTGTATATTTGATAAAAAAATTCAGCGGGACTATTAAAATTTGTGAATATCCCATTTTGTGAATTAAATCATGTTCATAATATCTATTTTCTTATATTTTCAGTCGATGCAGCATAGAAGTGTGAGAGTGCTCTTTGAGGACAAACAAGTATGGTGCTACATGTGAAGCTGTCTTACAAAAAATCAACTGTTCACAACTGCCCGAAGTGCACCTTCTCCACACGTAACAAGCCAGTGTTTGATCGCCACCGACAACGTTGTTCCCATAGCAACAACAATGTTTATAAAGCGCTTATTGCTGAAAATAACCCAGGTAGAGACACAATGAATGTTGTACAGACTACTGCGAGAAAAACATTCAAAAATCGTAGTAAGGTGAATCAAATTGGTGCAAAACTCGTCCAAAAGGCGATATCTCCCAAGAAGCAGAAAGCGTTGCATACACGCAACTATAAATGCCCGGACTGCAAGTTCCACACCCTGAAATCGAAGGCGTATCTGTTTCATCAGGTGAAACTTCATGGTGCAGCTTTCCAGCATATTGTGGGATGTACACTATGTGATTACGCCTCACGATGGAAGTGCAAAATCGAGCGCCACCAGGTAACTATGACAACTAATTTGTTTGGCGGACTTGAGAGTGTAAAATGTTTTAAGCCATCTTCAAAAGCATGCTAATGTTTCTCTTACACTCCGAAATTTATTTTATGAAAAATGTATTTACAGAAGCTAAACTTTCTACAAGGCCTTTTAATGGTAATATAACCTTTCAGAGTTTTTAATTAGATAATGGGTGTTGCGTCTATCTTGTAATCTTTACTCAGTATAATTAGAAAAGTTGACTATGGCTATGCCCATCTTTTATAACACACTGCATGTTGTATTTTAGGCATTAAAACACAAAGGTGCGGGAACATCAAAGACACTTTGGAACTCATCCATGGATGTAGATCTCTGTTCACTCTCCCCAAGCAGTAGCAATGCAGAAAACATAGATGTACCCTTGGCGCAAAATGGCGGCAGACGTCGCAAACCTGCCACGGTGATGCGTGTTGTCAACAATCCAGATTCTGATGAGGACCATGAAGTTAGTTTCCCGAATCTTAAAGAAGACAGTGGCGAAAAGAAGAAACCAGAGTCTGCTATTTTCGAGGATTTATCCATTCCAGGCCAGTCCAAGTTTAAATGTAAACTTTGTCATTTAACGAGTCACCAGCAGCTCATCATTGAGAGGCACTACCATTCCAGACATAACTCCACCAAACAGTTGCAGTGTACCAAGTGTGATTACACAACCTCAAGCAAGGTGGATTTTTTCGCCCATAAAGCCAAACATTCCAGTGAGAATAGTATGCATTTGCAGTGTAAACAATCCTCTTTTGGGACATCATCGCAAAGTGACGTCACTCAGCATATGATGTCACATAGAGATGTTTCCTTGTTGCGATGTCAGCTATGTGAGTATGTGACGGAGGATTCAGCACACCTCAACGATCATGTTGAGATGTTCCACCTTGAACCAGAAGATGAAGAGGGAACTGCGGTTATCACTGCTGAACAGATGGAGAAGGCCATGGAGAAGACATACTATGAGACACATGATACCAACAAACCTAAATACACTGCTCTCCTTGCAGAGAATGACCACGTGTGTAAGTTATGTGGATACGATGCCCGCTGTAATGCAAACCTCAAGATCCACATGGTGACACATTCCAATGAGCGTGGCTTCCCATGCAAGCTATGCCATCATAAATACAAGCGAGCTTCAGATCTTAACAGACACATGAAGAAGAATCATGGTCTTACATTGTCAGACTTGAGAAAGACACCACTTTCTGATATTCAAACTTCCAGCAAACCATCCAGCCCTAATCCTCCTACCATTTTGATCTCAGACGACCAGCCTCTGAATCTCTCTGTAAAGCCAATTAAAATGCCACGCTTGGATATCCAACCTCGTTCTGAATCCAAGATGGCTGCTCTCCCACCCGCTGTTGAGAATATCTACGATCCTGAACAACCTCTTGATTTATCAGTGAAGTCAGAACCAATGGAAATTGAGAGCATCGGTGGTCTAGAGCCCATGAATTTGAACTGTAACAGCTGCAGTTATATCGCTAAATGGCCAAGTGATTTGCGACGCCACATGCTGGTTCATTCCATAGAGAAAAGATTCCAGTGTCCATATTGTGACAAACGCTACAAGTACCCAACTGACATGAACGTACATATCAAACGCACCCACAAGAAACCTGGTCTGCAATATAGTGAACGAGCACCTTGTGTTAACCGCTCAAAGCCTACACCAGCTGGTGACTATAGATGTCAGCTTTGTGACTTCCAAACAACATTCAAGTCTGCATTAGATCGCCATTACCGAATCCACACTGGGGAAAAGCCATTCCACTGTACATTCTGTATTTATGCATCGTCATGGCGAGGAGACCTAAAGCGTCATCTTGAGAAGCATCACATGGAGAAACTGCGGGAATTGGACATAAATAGTTTATTGGATCCAGTAACACCATCTAACATGAGCGAGGTGAACTATCACACAGGTGAGAGTGAAGCAGAACAGCATCAACAGTCACCATCCCAAAATACAGATGATGAAAAACCTGCCACTGCACAAGCACCACCAGTCTTCCCAGGTGACCCTTACCTCCCTTCCAAGACACACACAGCCAAAACGGAGCCTTCTGATTGGCAGGACACATCTAGTGAGGCATCATGGTCCACATCTGAGAAACCTGAAACTACGCAGAATGAGAAAGGAATCAAATGCCCACGCTGTCCATTTATCGCCCCGGCACAATCTAAACTTGACTGCCATCTTGCTGGCCATGAGAACCTGAAGAGGTACAAGTGCCTGATATGTGGTAGAAGGTCCAACTGGAGCTGGGACATACGCAAACATATCAAGCGTGACCACCCAACTGAACTGGAGACCCAGTTCACCCATCTTACCATGGAGGAGGCTCAGAATACCATTGGCGACTACTTGAAAAATCATCCTTTTGGCAAAGTGTCCCCTGTGCGTCTCCGTCATGCCAAGATCCCCCAGGTGACCCCAGCTCGTACCAAAGGCAATGCACTACCCTCCCCTAAAACTGTGGGTTACATCAAGCCCTACAAATGCTCCGAGTGTGGAAGGAGATCTAACTGGAAGTGGGACATCAATAAACATATAAGGGCAGCACATTATGGCACTGAAGCCCACGTCATTATCATGTCTGTCGAGGATGCAAAAACTCAGCCAATTCCCCCAATTTCCACCAAGAGGCAGATCACATCTCCAGCTACAAAGTATGACCCAAACAACCTTAAACCTTTCCAATGTGGGGGATGTCCATATCGTTCTAACTGGCGCAGTGACATAGCACGTCATTTACGTCGTTCACATGACCTGGATACCAGTCACATTATTGTGCTTGATGCCCAGACTGCTTCCTCAACCCTAGAAGACTACAATAATATGTTCGCTGGAAAGAAATTCTCCGAAAAACGTATCACTAGCTCGGAGCACTTAAGAGGTACTCCAAACAATACACCACCACCTACCAGAGAAGGGACTCCTTCACCATTCTCAAGGGAAGGGACACCCTACTCCCAGGAGGGATCTGTATACTCAAACCCTCCTGATATCACTGGCCAAGACCTTGATGATACCACAGATGATTCAAATGGTGCAGTTAACCTATCAAAAGTCTCAATGATGTCTCCAAACTTGCCAAACTCTGGTGAAAATATCTCGCCAAGTCTTCCAGCTAATGCCCAGCAGCATTTTGATGAGCATATAGATAATGCACTCAAGAAGGAAGAGAATCAACCAATGGATTTCACCAGCACAGCCTCAAACACCAAACAAATGAACATTCATGAAGGAGCTCAAATGGATACTTTTATACCATTTAGTGATATACAGAAATCTCAGACCAGTGGGGGTGTAAAGAGAAAAGTCTGGCGCTGTAGTAAGTGTGACTACCGAAGCCATAACAAAGTAGACGTCATGAAGCATCTCCAGATACATGCTAAGGACAAAGCATACAAGTGCAAACTCTGCACTTATTCATCAAACTTTCGTAGTGCTGTGTATCGTCATCTTCGCTCTAAACATCAGGCTAACAACTATGACCAGATGATGGATTTTGATGAGACCCTCCAACAGAATGAAAATGAAGTGGAAGAGATCACCGAAGAACAACATCTTTCCCAGCTACAAACATCCCAGAATTCAATCTCACAGATGGATCACGACAGCACGAATTTGGTGATTGATTGTGCAGCATCCTTTGATGATGAAAAACGTCATCATTGCACAATATGCCCATATAAGACAACTAAGCCTGGGATGCTGCAGCTACACATGTCATACCACAAGCCCAGCCCACAGAACATGTTTAAGTGTTCATACTGCCCTTATTATGTCTCAGTGAAAAGATTGCTTCATCAGCATACAAAGCTCCATATGGAGGATGGTACCATTGATGATGATGCTCACATCCCACCAAGCCATCAAACCGCATTGGATCTTGCGACCAAGCATGATGATGATAACGATGATATGGATGAACCAGTTAACAATGGAGATGGTTTCCAATGTACTGATTGCCCATATATAACTCGTAGTAAGAACGACATTGCTTACCATAGACAATTCCATTCTCCTAATCCATCAGCACCATTCAAGTGTAATAACTGTGACTACTGGGTCACCATGAAAAGATTGCTAGTTCAACATGGTAAAGTTCATAGTGAAGAGTACCAGCTGCGTGTGAAAGCTCTCAAAAATGCCCTAAATAAACCCACAGATCCAGCAGCTCTCGAGTCAATCGAAATGGCCAAACTGAAACAAACCATCATCAATGCCAAGGTCGCACCCATTTCCTTACCCCCAGATATCAGCCCAATGGATGATCCTTACAAGGCTAGCTCCTCATTGATGTCCAAACTGCACCGCTGTGCCATCTGCCCTTATATCAGTCTAAACCACACCAATTTGATCCTTCATGAGAGGGCACATGGACAACATAAGGAGGATGGCTCTAAATTTGGCTGTCCATTCTGCGACTTCGCCACTGGAAACAAAACAATGTTAGCTGTTCATATAAAAGTCCACTCCAACCATTATAAAGCAGGTAGTATCAATGATGTTGAAGACCTGGAGGGGAAAGGTGCCATCAGTGAGAACAGAGCTGTCTCTCCCAAAGCAACTGTTGTCTTCAGTGATCCTGCTATCTCACCAACAAGAGAGTTACTGGACAGTGGAGGCTTCTATTTTAAGGTAGATGAGACCACAGGAGATACACATCTGAACAAGGCAAACTTCAAGAAATTTGTCTGTGAAAAATGCCCATATGCAACTTCCAAGAAACTGTATTATGAACGCCACTTGAGTCTACATGGATCGAAATTGAGATTTGGATGTGAGTTTTGTGATTACAGCACACCTACTTTCAGTCAGCTTCAGACGCATAAGTCCATCCATCTGACTCCCAATGGTAACCTCCTTGCTGCCCAGAGTGTGTCTAACCTCCTCACCCAGCCTGAGATACCCGCAGATATAGCGGCAACTGAGGTCAATATGTCTGATAAAACAGTGAAAGATGGCAGCCTACATGACAACTTAGAGCTCTATGAGAACTCGGAATCATTTGAAGAGCCAAATGCTAGACTATACAGGTGTAATTATTGCCCTTATAACAGCCAGAGACGCGATGGTCTGATTTCGCATGAAAAGTTCCATATATCAAGAGGCACATTCAAATGTCCACATTGTTCATTCAGTGTTAACCAGCAACACCTGTTGAACCAACATATCAATATCCACTTCTCAAACCCATCACTTGATGCCAGGGCTGAACAGGTGGAGAACAGTGAACCCACAAATGATGAGACCACCCCTGAGTTCATTGACATCAATGATATTCCTGTTGAAGAGAGGAAAAGATGGCAACATGATGAGTCCAAATCCATGATGCCTAAAGGGGAATCAGTGCCTACTACATCAAATGCTAAACATTGTGAGGAGCCCATGGATACTATGTGGATCTGCCAGTATTGTGATAGGGCCTTTGGGGGTTCACAAGAGCTTATGGAACACAAGAAAACTCACAAGAATTAATAAATGCCAAGGTAATATACAATTTTTAATACTAACTATGATTTTGATTCTTTAGCCATTGTGATTGTATAAGTAAGTTTTTATATCGCGCCTTATACCGCATCTTGCTTCACCAAGCTTTGGACCTGTCCAATATTACATTCAAGAATTACAAGAAAAAATTTAGGCTTTTGAAGTAAATAAAATGTTAAATCTTTGACGTCTACCTCTGCAATGGATTTTAAAAATTCCACATGTACTTACCTACATTTAGCCTTTATCATAGAAGGGCTGATTTTTGATGCTTTTATAGTTTGGGAACTTATTATTATTTGATGTTATATTTACAGAAGTCATGCCATAGACTACATAGTGCAGTGCCATATTAAACAATACAGCAGTGCTTCTATGAAGAACTAAACAGTGCCAGTACCAGACAGTACCATAATAGTACTAAACAGTACCTAAGTTAGAAAGAAGATGTTTTTGTTAAGGAAACTAGATACAGTTACAGTGCCTTCAGAAAATGTAACCATGGATACTGAACAGTGCTTCAGTAGATATAAACAGTGCCGTAGTGAAATCAAAACAGTGCCGTAGTGCATACTAAACAATACTGGATCACAGTGGGAACTATATACCATAATTATGCATAAATATATTGATGGAAATTATATCAGTGTACAACTGCATACTTATATTTATATTGGTGCTTAATGTGGAAAATGTTGATACTTTTAAGTTTTCAAGCATATTTCTAATGTCAGAATGTAAATGTTCAAAATGTAAAAGGTGCTAATGAAAAAGTCAAGAACAATGAAATCCTAGATGTAAAACGAGCAACAGTGAAATCCTGGATAATGAATATATTTTTTGAACTAGGATTTAGGACAACAGTGCCTTCCTGCATTATATGCATTGTAATATACTGTACAGATTTACACATATTTTATAATCATATACATTATATATTAAATATCATGTACAGTGTAGAGTACATTGAAATCTTATACTAATATCTATGCAAAATGTAAAACCAAGTTGAGGGGAGAATATTGTATGCATGAAGACTATACATTCCCCAGTTAGCACTATCAATAAATATTATATGCAAGAATTCAATATGCAATATAGGGGGAGTTACAAAGGGGTATTTTTCTCAGTCTACTACTCTCAAGTCAGTCAGACTGTCAATTTCATCTCTGCTCTTAAGGGATTAAAGGAGGGATTCCAGGGACATTATAGAAGAAGACCAGTCAGTGTAAGCATACAGAGTATGTCTAAAAGGCAAAAATCTTGTAAAAGTAATTTTAAAGCCAAAAAGAAAAGGTGCTCATTTGATCAAAATGCTGCTGAAAATGTTTTAATGAACATTAAGAGTTCAATATGTTGTGTTCTTTTTTGATAATTAAGTGTTTCATTATGTGCAAATTACAAGTATATTTTTATACAACAATATTGAAACTAGAAATCCGTTTATATTGTATATTAGTGCTTTTTGTTGTGGATCAGTGCATGCGGTGGGTGGGTGTAGATATGCAAAACAAGCTCACATTTCCACAACTCTTGAGAAAATAAAATAGTTTTTCACCATTTCCATACTCTTGTACAATCCAGTCCATTAAATTGGTGAGTTGTAATGTCTAAAAAATGTAATTCAATGTATTCTGTTATATAATATGCTTTATTATACAGAACATTAAGGTGGGTGTAGTAGGAAGTTGTACGTGACCCACCTTAACTACCTTAAAGATTCATTCCAAATGTCTCTTATTTTATATGATAGTTAGATGTATACAGTTTTAATCCAACATGTAAATGTGTTAATGGCATATTATTAAAGACATCTTGTATTATAAGATGCAGAAGTCATTGTATTTGTATATGCAAGAATTATTGTATTTGTACATTCCAAGTATTTACATGCATTACCATTTAACTTTTGTTGATCTTTGTAAGGCTACATTTCCGTTTATGCTTGTATAAATGATTCCAGAGTTGAATTTGTCAAATATTTTATACATTTCAAATGAGCTTAAACCTGTAAAGTCATATCAGTATTCAAGAGGCTTCAGATACTGCAAGTTGACCTAGGAAAAGAGGGGGGGGGGGGAGAGGGAGGGGTCCCCCTTTCTTAATTTTCCTATGATTTTATGAAATGTAGCAAGTATTTACGTCAACTTCAGATCTCTTAAAATTATGAATTGCCAGTCACATTTCAGACTCGCTGTTCTCTTTATGTCAAGTATGCAGTAAGCTTGACTTGATCCAGAAGGATTGGCTCCCAGGGATGCAACTCATATTCAACCTTGACCTTGATTAATATTCACATTGAAATTGTCCTAAATGTCGTTATCTTCTGACATTATGAGAGATTGCATCCTGGGATCCAATTCTCGTTGGATCTGAAAATGTTTCATTCATTCCAGTTAGGAAGCATTCCACATCTGTTTTATTCCAAAATGTTGGGAGAACATGAGCCATAACTCCATAAGGTTATTAAAATTGAGAAAATGCAATTATTTGTAAATACATATTTACAAATAGGGGACTGATTATTTTGTAGAAATGAACATCCTCAAAAAATAATTAGGGTTTTCAGAAGGCTATATTACAAAAAGGAAAATTTGAATTGTTAATTAATTTGGTTCACATGTTCTAACACAAGAAAATTACCTGTGGTTTGAAAGCGTTGGGCTGTACTAAAATTGGAATTGTTATATCACTATTCAGCAATATGTATAATTCGCATAGTATTGTATAGTTTTTATTCCAGAGATGTTCTACAATCTATTGTATATTATTGTATCACAATAAAATAATGTAATACAAAAAAGTAATGGATATACTTTGGATGTCATTAGGTCACCACCAGAAGTGGTGGCATATTGTTATAATTTCCAACGTTCTGTGGACGGTGTTCGGCGGGTGGCAGATGCTGATATTTTACAAGTTAATGTCTTGTATCATATTCTTGTCAGCAATACCTTGAACAAATGCACTGGCGCCACCTTTGATGTACCCCCAAAAATTTGGGATTGTTCTTTCAAATCACCCCTATAACTACTGAAATCTTGCGGTAGAAAATAAGCAGGATTAAACTACTGGTTATTGCGATAAAATTCACCTACCGATTTTCTACCACAAGATTTCAATACACTAGTAGTTGTGGGGGTGATCTGAAAAATCAACCCCATGGGCAGATGGGGTACCTTTGACGATAACTGACAGACATTGATTCAAAACAAGCATTCCATTCATATGAAGTGAATACACGTGTAGCCTACCCGCAGCTCAAAATAAGACATAAATAAATTTACTTAGACCCTGTGAAAATAAAAGTAACCCCGCAGATGAGTAAAATAAAAATGTATCAAGGTGTAGTAATCAATCAATCTGTAGTAATGTAATGACTCATGAATCAATTACTAGATACCCATCGTTTGACGGATTAGAATGTGTAGTATTTTGGTCTTTATTTTGTCAACGTACAGCAAAGTGTTAAATAGTTCTATGCTATACCACCCCATGCAGACAGATCGCCTAAAATTACATTCGTTTGATGCGAGACTCGACATTCACCAGGAAATAAGAAACATTTTGCCACCCATGAAGCAAATTAATTTTTACTTCTTAATAAGTATTGCACTGCATAAGTATGATGTGTACTTCAAGGTAATAAAGTAATATTAGTACCATACTAATGTCCGATCATAAGTTCAATAATAGTTGCATTTCAGGATATTAATTGTATGACATATACGAGACCAATGTTAATGCTACCAGGGAGAATCGGACCTGCAGGCCTTACTATTTATACATGTTTTTTCTGTTTTGAAAAATTCGATATATTTCTTATCACTATTCAAACGTGTTGTGTTTCGGAAAATTCTATATTTGATGTATATTTTTTAGTTTTTCAAAGAAATCTACAAATATTTCGTTGCGGTTTTATCTTTACATCGTTTTTTCAATCACCGCCATCACTTTTAAAACGACGTTAGGGCCTACCTTGAAATATCAAGACGTCATGCTATTCTCATACTTATAGAACTTAATTTGACTGTCATTCACCATTTATTAAGCAGTAAAAAATAGTTTGCTCCATGGGTGACAAATTATTTCAAGTTTCCTAATGTCGAGTCTCACATCATACGAATGTAATTTCAAGCGATCTGTCTGCATGGGGTGTATACGTCTTCTGGGCCTATCTGATTGATTAATCTATTATCACATCGTGCATGTCGTAGTTCTTCCTTTGGAAGCCCCATCATGAATTTTCTCTGTCATATATCTTTTAAACTACCGTTTCTACTTGATTTATGAAAAATACGTATTTGAATTACTATATTTAGTATCAAATAGGGATACGATAACTTGTAATGAGCAAAAGTAAATAACTCATAATTTATTATTGATTGTGATTACAAGAGGAGCTAGCGTGGCTCACTGCGCTAAGGGGTTGTATTTTATGGATGGGGGAGTTTTAGAATAACCCAGATGCGAGTAGAAATAATCTTGATTTACGTCATTAAAAATTCAAAATTCAGTCAAAGTAATATCATATTTGAAATCTACATGTAAAATTACATCTAGAAATGTGGTTTTAAAAAGTGTTTATCAACTTTGAAAAAACAATTTTCTTTGAAAATGTGACTTCTAGCTCGGGGAGATTCCCCATAGACCCCATGCTATAAAATCACAAAAAATGAAATATCTTTGCTTTTAGTGGACAGATAATATTTTGCTTTACTGGACATATTTTCATTAGTATAAGTATCAGACACATAAGGGTTATATGAAAATCGAGCCACTTAAATTGATAATATTCAAGTTTAAGGGAACTTTCTTATATACCTGCCATGTTAATTGACCCGAATCAGCCACCTGGTGGTGAAACAGGTAACTACCTACTCGCATTTGGGTAATTGCCCAGTGTAGAATGGGTTCTTCCCAGGATAACCGAATACTTGAATGTGTCAATGGGTTTTGATGTTGTTTTTCCATTTAAATACCAATTCAGCAATATTAATTTTATATATCGGGTAGGCATAAAAATGGGTCGTACTTTGATGCTAGCGCTTTGTTTCTCAATTTGCCTTTGTTCAAACCCTTTCAAACGTTGGACATTTAACTATCATGATGTTGTTAATATACTGACCAATTTTCAAGCTCATAGTTTGAGTAATGTATACACAGGTCTTAAATGAAAGTATAGCCTGAAAAACGTACGTTCCGGTGTAAGTTGCCAGTGACCAACATTGCATCACCTATCAGGTGTCAAGAATAGAGCACGCGCTGTACCTGTACGCACACGCGTTAATTAAGTGTTATCTGGAAAAATTGGCTGGATCTAGTGTCAAAGAAACTTTTCTGCCAGATAGGAAAAGGCTTTGCTGAATCGAGTTATTTTTTGATTGCCCAGGACATGGAATTGATCGCAACATGTTTCAATGAAACGGGTTGTGGAGAGGAGCAAAAATTGCAAAATAATTCTAAGGCAAAAACTGGATAAAACAATGCGATCAAAAAGTTGAAAAGACATGTTCTGTAGAAAGGCAGTCATCCTCCGTACGCAGGGCTTCAAAATCCAGAATCTATTCTTCCTTTTTACAGAAGGAGGTACGGATTCCGGAAGCCAGCTTAGGAGGATGAAAGGCAGTGGGCCACCAAAAACGGTTTACTCCCAAAGAAATTGAATTAAAATTGTACAAGCGAATGGAACACGAACTTTAAGAAGGAAGGGCATCATTTTGAAATGTTCTGGAACTTGCGTTTTTTGACTGGCGTTTTTGATTTTGGTCCCATGAACAGAAATCTTAAAAGATGAAACTGTTTGGTTTGTATATTGAGGTGGCCTTTGAGTATGTAAAGTTTTAGAAGCGAAAGTAAGACATCCTCCGATCACAGGGCTTCAAAATCCAGAATATCGGATTCTAAACACCTGCTTAGGAGGATGAAGTAAGAGGGTTTCGGAAATATCAAGTGTCAAAGTACGATCCACTTTATATGCCCACCCGTATATATCTGAATGATTCTCAGCTCATTAAAAAGTGGTGGACTGTGGTCTCTAGTCACTTTGGTTTACCAGCCTTACAAAGTGGTTCATAAATAAGAGTAAATAAAATATTTCTTTGATTTTCCATGGCCACTTCAACATTTAGAACATCACAGTTTGGAATGATGAAGGAAAACGTTTCACCAGGAGTTTTTTACACATATTTTTATTTCAAAGCAAAATTAAGGCTTAGTTATGTTATGCTATATTCATCTATTGACTCTAAGTCACG